ATAAACCAAAAAGAAAAAAGGCGTGAATAAATTATTAAAAAAAACATATATATATATATAAATATATATATATATATATATCGTTTTTTGTTTATGCAAAATCAAATTTTATATTAAGATTGGGGTTGAAGGAATTGTATGGCCGTTCGTTTATTCGCTGACCTTTTTGATGATCTTGTAACGCGATCTTTTTTTGACGAAAAATCTGTTAAAAAGGATGTTCAATTATTATTACTACTATAATCACTATTATAAATTTCGTTTAAAAATCAGAAAGCGTAAGGAGTGAGAGAGAACGAGAGAGAGAGAGAGATAGAAAAAGAGAGACAGAGAAAAAGCAAGATTCTATAATTTGACTTTTTTTCTGGAAAGAGAGTAAGACAGTTCCTTCATGTTTATATTTCAAATTACCTTATTATATAAATAAAGTACTATATCATTTAATTTGCATTATCTCATAATTATTTGTTTTACCAATGTTACATAACCTTACATCGATCCCCATGTAATTAATATTATTGTTATTTCAGGAAATACATCGATCATGTGACATAATATGTATATAAGTAAATATTATTAATAACAGTCTACAATTCATTTATCAATAGTTGATTGAATTTTATCGTAATTCGTCTTGTTTTAATGTAAATATATTATGATGTATAGGTCAATGTTAAATTATATAATTCAGTTTAATTGTGGAAATTCAAGGTTTTACTGAAAATAACTAGACATTTTAAAGAGAAAAAAGAAAAACATATAATAAAAAGAAATTTATATTATATACTAAAATTAGTAGTTTTTAAAAATAACGATATTACATATATATTTAAAATAGGCGAGTGGGATTAAAGTATGAGATTGAAATTTGATCCATCTTTAAAGTCTGCTATTCTTTTTACATCAATGCTCATAATTATCCGTTTTTATCTTTTTCCGTACTTTAAGAACTAATGTTCTGTTAGTCATGCTGTTCTATCGGATCTAATCTATGGATGTCGGAACAAGTCAGTATAGTTATTTCGGGCTTTAGCTAGTCATTTCACGAATTAGCGGATTTCATAAAGTAACGCTGACATATCTATGTATAATACTTACGTAGGAGTATGGGCGTAGGTCCTCATTTAAGAATATTTAGTTATGACGTTTCGCAGTAAGATCAACGACCCAACGAGCCTTTATTTCGGCGGTTAAATTAATTCTACATCGTAAAGACGGATGTAACACTGCCTGTGGATGCAACGAGCGTAATATTGAAGTGCCTGACCAACGAGAGAACTTTAATGACGGTTTGTATAATGAGTAGAATGATATTGTAGATAATAAAAGTAATATACGATAATCAACGAGACAAAGAATTGACGATTAAACTGAAATTATCGCTCTTGAATTTTCAAATAAATTTCATTGATTTATTTTATTTTATCTTTTTTTTTTATCGTTCTTCTTCTTTTCCATTTTATATTTGATTTTATTTTCTGTTTATCTACTACATTTCGTGTGTCCTCGTAGAAGTTCTTTAATTCGGTTCGTACCGCGATTAGGCGATTAAATGTGAAAATTATGGAAAACAGTGGGCTAGGCCATCGTTATTTCGTCATTGCTAGTAAAATTGAACGACGAGCATCACACATCTCCCGAGTACTTCTATATTTACGTACATACATTTCTTCGATGGGATCGAGCAACGACGCAACCTTTGTTAGGCGTAAATTTAGCACACGAAGACTGTCACGATCGTTCATCGTCTTACGATCTATTACGAACCTTGTCTGATTTGCATCTTGTAAATGTCTTGCCAAATTATTTTAAACGTACTATCAAATTATTTTCGAATAAATTTGTGACAAATGATGGTAACTTTTGTAAAAGTTGTCTCGTATTATCATTATAATTATTATTGTTATTGTTATTATTATTATTTTTATTATTATTATAATTATTATACAGAATAAATTTATTTTTAGTCGTTATTATAAAGAAATGTTTTTTTATCATCATTAGAAAGTTGAAGGATAGAAGGACAGAAACAAATAGTAAAATCGTTTCACGCTTCGATTACTGACCTGAATAAAGATAAAGGAAAACATCTATCTTATCTAAGAAAAGTTGCGAAAGATGCTGAATAGATAGCCTTCATCGACTTCGGTAAGAGATAATTCGATAGATCAGAGATACGCCAATGAGATTTCGAAAGTACGAGGGCAATGACTGATAGAATAATCAGTCCGTTACGTGGCACTTGCAATTGCGTCGGCTTTTCTTATCTCATCGTTCACTAATCCAAATGTTTTTAGCGGTAGAATCTTATGCCATTCACGGATTTCTTTGACCCTGACTTTTAATAACATGTTATGTTACGTGACATTTTAAATCCCTATATCGTTCTATATATATATATATATTATCTTTATATTATAATTAATTTATATACGTATATATAAAATTGTGTTTATATTGTATGTGTGTGTGTGTATTTTTATATTATTATGTAATTATTATATTTACTATATTCGATGTAATGTAAATCACATTTTTTTTTTGTAAATTGCATAATTAATTCAAGTCAATTAGAAAAATATTCGACCAATTTATTACTTCATCGTTTTAACTTGTTCATTTATTCAGGTAGTAGAAAACTCATTAGAATCACGATTGATAGTTCGAGGAAAAAAGGAAGAGAGACGTGAAAGAAATAGTTGCAAACATGAGGGGTTCGTTATCATTCCACCATCGCGTTGTACTTCGGAGATATGCCGAGTTTGTCTTCGTTCATGTCAAAACTTTACGAAAAGTATAACTTTTATCGAGGGAACTTTTATGAAAGCTGTTTTAACCGAACGATCCGTTAGTACACGAGGGCGACATTTTGATCAGTAAAATATTAAACGCCGAATATTTTACTAGTAGGAGGATAATTGATATTCAGCTCGCGTGACTAAAAGTGCGATGATAATTAAAACGTCTTGCATAAAGCGTCCGGCCGACGGTTTCGTTCATGGCGGAACGAATTCACGATTATTTCGATCACGTTCCCTTCCTCTCGAAATACATGTATATACATGTATCCTATGAACGTATTTTTGTACGCTCCATGGTAACTGATTCACTCAGGGCTCTCTATAATTAAATTACGCCACATCGTTCGCGAGAAAATCGGTAAAATCGGAAATCGATCATTTATCCTTCGAACGAATGTAAATCAGTTTATAACTACGTTGCAAATGTTTTGACACGTTGCCAAGAAATTTAGTACGATTTGTTGTATCCCATAACAATGCTGTAAAAATTCATTGGATTTTCCCTCGAACAATTTTTTCGAACAGATAAAATCGTTAAACGTTAGTCGTTAATCGTGATGTAATCTGACGATAATTTCGAGATGTAATTCAAATTCGTTTAAATTGTTTGCCGGCATTTATCGATCCATTTATTTATTATCGAAGGCGAGAAAAAAACATATGAGTGAATAATAAAATACATATCGAAATGCAATTTGTAATATTGTGTTAACGATGAGATTGTGTCTGGTAATATTTTATAAAAGTTAAATAAAGATTTATTTTAAAATATGTGCTCGTTTTATTCTTTATATATATCACGCATTCATATAAATATGTACAAACAAGTTATCGATAAAATATGAGCTTTTGATGACTTCGAGTAAATGCATGCAACTGACCTCTAAGATCATTTATCCTGGATTTGAATAGTATGAGAGAGATAAAGGTAAAAATAAGCATAAACATACACATACATATAGGCATAGACATAATCATAGACAGATAATTTGCAAGCAAAGTCATCGATGACGTGGCATGAGAATGTGTTAAATCTAGTTTATTTCTGAAACGAATCATTTCAATCACGATATATGCTTTTTTTAAAGAGTATATTAGAATAACCATAGATTTTCGACTAATTATTATAAATAACTTTCAACATTTTTATAATAATGAAACGACGAAATTTGTAAAAACAAATGATGATTGATAATAACCCTAGTAGCACAAAATATTGAACACATGTGTATTTAATATTAAAAAGACATTGAATCTCTAATTAATATTAAATACATATGTATTCAATATTTTTCAATATTTTGTGCTACTAGGGAAGTTTCATGTATAATATAATAAGAAATTTTTTATTTCGTACGTGATGAAATAAAAGAGTTAATTTGTATTTGTTTATACAAATTACATCCTTAATATCGAGCATTGTATCATAGAAATTGATCTAGCATTTATCGTAAGAGGTGTGCTAAACTTGTCGCTTTTGTAATTCCCGTGGGTGTTAATAACATGAGCCGAGATACGTGTATACTGTATATACATACGTAATATAATGTAACGTCATTTTATAGGAATGTAAAATTCACTTTATCATATAATCAAAATTTGTTAAAAGTCTTGTTATACTTCTATTCAATATTATATTTTTATTTTATTATTCATTTACGTAACATTTTTCTGTTGTTCGCATATAAACTTAATGGTCCGTTTAATTTAATAATTGAAAAATTTTAATATTGAAGCTATAAAAAGAATTTTTTTAAATATTATAAATTATCATTTAATTAATATAATTATGGTTAATTAAAAACTTAAATAATTGTCAAATTTATATGAATAAAAAATATTTTGAATTAAAAATTAATTGAATTAATAATATTCATTGAAATGTTCTTTAAAATATTAATGTTTCTATTTGAAATTTACTGAATTGAATAAATGAATAAAAATGTTGTACTATTATGTATTATACGATGAATCTTTTATTTTGTTGATCTCTTTACTTAGCAAAAATATGATATATAATAATTATGACCATAATATAACTTTAAAATACGTAAATACGTGGGACAATGTTATACATGAATTTGAAAAGAAGCGCGCTTGATAATCGCGTGCCATCGAGAGTTTCGAATAAACGGAACGACCGGAATTGTATGGAGCGCTGGTCTGTAGACGCGCATGCGCAGTGAGTAAGATAGAAGATGTACAAGGCAGTAAACGAAAATGTCGCGAGTGCCGATATTAGTGATTTTGGGTTCAACTGGTTCAGGAAAATCTAAACTTGGAATTGAATTGGCTCGAAGATTCGGTGGAGAAATTATTTCGGCGGATAGTATGCAAGTAAGTGATTAAATATTTTCTTTTTCGACAATGCAATTCGACGACTGCATAGCAAGGTTATGTTTCTCCTGTATTTCGTTTCTTTGAGATTTTTATTATCTTATTTTCTCATCTTTTCTCATTTTCTTCTCGTCGAACTAAGCTGCATTTTAAAAAGTAAGAATTACTCTCATAAGAAATCCGAAATAGCTACTGTAATTTTGATTAGTAGGAACAACATTCTCCTCGTGAAGTAACAAGCGCGTGTCGATGACCGGAAACATATATAAATATGCGTGTGTGTATGCGTGTGCCTATATGTGATAAGATACACGTTATGTGCGTATAAATATGAACGCGCTTTGATTTTTTTACCGTGTTGACATTCACATTTTGTTAGTTATGATATTATGCACTTACGATAATCTCCTTTTTTCCATTACTGTTTTTTTTTTTTTGTATTTTTGTATTTTTTACTTTTCATTATTGCAAGGTAATAGTATTCGTGAGTGGGTTGAAATTTTTCTACGTTAAATTATTTGTGAATAAATTAGTTAGTACGACTGTTAAAATGTCATTTCTCATTATAATTTATTATCTTTAGATAGTTATCTATTATGAATTTTTATCTTACGACAATGTGAATTTTGTTGTTTGTTTTATCATGTTCGCATTATTGTTTTGTTGGTTGAGAAAATTTCGGATTTTTCCTAAATCCTACAAAAGGTTACTTTCTAATCTTAAGTTATTATAATCTCTCATAGATTTCTTTGCTTTGCTTTCGTTTCATCTTTTGAGGATACTCAAGCGTAACGCTTTCCGTTATTTGCTTGTGTGTTTAGGCACAGCCATGCGGAAGTGGCTCACTTGTAATTAGAAGTTAGTTCAAAAGACGTTTCTTCTCGTGAAACAAATGGTTGCTTGGATTAAACGTACGACTGCTTCTTGGCTTACCTAAACGTCTCTTAATGCGGAGTTTATTAATAATCACCATAAGAGTACTTCTACAGTTGTCATAACGTTCTTCGAGCTCATAAAGCTTTGAATATAATATTCATAAGCGGGCTTTAACTATTATTAGCTTACCTGGATAATAATCGCTTTTATGGGCTGATGTACTTAGAATAAATAATTTATTATTGAACGATATAGACGGATGATTTAAATATCAAACGTACGAGAGAACAGTCCTGAATAAAATATTAAAAAAGGAAAAGGTTGCTGTTAATTTGCATTGTTTATTAGTTTCTGATTTTTCGTTTTAAGGAGTTAAAGTTCATTTGAACATAATTCTTATCTCATTTACAATTAATGTAGCAATAACGGCATTTTCTTTTTTCGTTATTTGTATTTACGTATATTATTAAAATCATGTATTTATGCATAATTATTTTTATTACTAATTTATAAATATGTAACTATTTTTTTCTTTTTCAATTTACAAACATTGTTTTGATTTGTATGGTAATCGTGCTATAACATTTTTCATTATTTCATTTTATTTTTAATTTTATAATCTTTTAATCCTTCAATGTATGACAAATGATATGAATTCTACTAACATTTACGGTATTTAAAGAATAGAAATCATTGTCTATGTATATGCGTTTTAGTAGAACAATGATTTTTCTCGCGGAGCACGCACACCAGTAGCGAAGAATTTTGTTAAACATGTTACTTTTCGGTTTTCATAACGTCACGAGACATCATACGCTCGAAGAATGTTTAATACCGTTTACGCCACACGTCTTTGAGAATTCTGACATGAAAGGACGCGAATACGTTGAAAACAGAATGGAATTTAGCCGTGAACTTGGTCGGTCGTTCGTCTTTTATTTTTCCTTCTCTTTTGACTCGCCTTTGTCAGCATTCGCATATCGCTGAAACGTCCAAATTGTTTGTACTTACTTCGATCGAGACCAAAATGTCAAGAGAAAAAACGAGAGAGAAAGAGAGAAAGAACAAACAAGGTCACACGTGGGAGTGTGTGGATGATTCTCATTTTATTTATTTATTTTTTTTTTTTTTTAATACCTTCAGATCTTTTTTGTTTATTTTCTTACAGAATTTCATTATGAGTAAAAGATCAAATTTGTTTGAAGTGCAAATACTTTTAAAGTATAGAAATAATAGAAAATATTTATTACTTTTTTTTTACAAATGATTTTTCCTAATTACATACACAAAAATGGATCTTATATTTTTGTTTAGTTAATTATGTCAGATTGATGCAAAAGTAATTGCGAATTTTTAGGTATTGAAGCTTATATTAAAGACATTATATCTGTTGAATGATTAACATAAAGAGCTCTTCTGCAACATCTCGAGTTGTTGTTTGACGTTTGTTTACTTCGATAATATTATTTAATTAATTAATTACAGAGTTAAGGAGACGTTCGCGATAATTCTCATTTTTAACCCTTTTGTTTTTATGAAATATTTATAATTAATGCTCAATTGTATTCCTTTCAATTGCATCTTTGTTAAAAACATAATTTACATTTTGATTTGTTTCTACTGTTGTTTACGTCCAAATTTCAAGACATATAATAAAATAGCGCGAATTTGTTTTTTATTTCTTTTTTTGTCAATAAAAAAAATTTCTAGTACTAATTTAGTTCTTTACATGATGTATTAACATGACCAGAATTAGATAGAAGATTACTAGAAAAATTGGGCTTAAATTTAAAAAAATATATATATAAACCTTAATTATTTAAATTAGAAATAAATTAGTAGTAATTATTAAAAATATACAAGAAATCAAAACACGTGCTCATATGTTTCACCAAAAAAAATTAAACGTACAAATGTGTCTTATGTTTTTACAAGGGATTAATTTCTTTTCTCCTTTTTTTTTTTTTTTTTTTTTCTCTTTTTTTTCGTTGTAATTTATTTAACAACGATACGACTTGTGCTTACAACTTTTTTTTTAATGTGATACTTTAAGTATCCTCGTATCGGATTTACTTCATTTTCAAGACGAACAGAAAGGTTGCGGATGAAATTCTTGTCAGAGTAGAAATTTTTCTTGATCGTTGGATATTTGTGAAACATAATACTTTAATTTTTCCACGTACGGTATCACTTTCACTGGAGGCATTTGAAAGGTTTCTAGCTCGTCTCTACCAAATCGTCTTCGAGTTCTCTCATATTCCTTCCACTTGTTATTTTACGAACTGTCGACACGTAACACAAGTACCGATGCTTGTACAGTACTGGAAAACTATCCTAATGAACGTTTTAGCAAAGTTGGTAATATATTTTAAAACTTATCTTTAACTAGTATCATGTAAGAGTTACATGTACGTTATCAAAGTTACGTTCGTAATTTGTCAATTCCATGAACGTTAGATTATATACGTGTGATAATAAAACATTCACATTTTATTTATTTATCTATCGTAGATAGAAGGTCACGATCATTTTTTTTTTTTTTTGAATATATAAAACATATGCAGATAATAATGAAAAAATCTTTTAAATAAGAATTATTTCTAATTTTGATTTATTTAAACGATGTAAATTAAATCAAATCTTTGATTAGAAATTAGTTAAACATTATTTACATTTTATTATTTTAATCATCTTTCAGAAATAATGTATTTCAGATAATATTAGAAAAATATGTATATAAACGTCTCATTTAGGTGTAAATGTTTTTTTCTTTACAATAATTTTTGGGTCATTCACCTGATCAGCGCAGGATTCTAACGTACGAGTTTATTCGCGTGCATAAATCACACTTTCTTTCCAAACCAGAAGAGCATTTTTGCGCAGTAGTCGTTTTTTTTTTTTTTTGGTGCGACCATATGATTGCTCTTCTTCTTCTTCTTCTTCTTCTGATCGTATGCGCATACATAATTATAACGAGGAGGAGTAAATGGAGGAGGCCACGTGTACTCTTTTCGTCTGCCCACACGCGTGCCGAAAAAAGATATCTCTACAAATTTCCACGCGGACATAACGCCACGCCTGAAAACCTTCCCTTCTATTTCTTTCTTCTTTCTTTTTTTTTTTCTTTATTATTTTTCTCTTTTTTACTTTTTTTCTCCCACACAAAGAAAGATTTTGAACATACAGTAATAATCATATGGAAAATTTAACTTGACCAAATTGTCAAATAATTATGAATCCATACATTTTTTCGATATTACGATTTATATATAGACTATCCTGAAAGATCATGACCAAACTTATACGATGTGTTAATGAGTGCTAAAGTAGGTCCAGGAAGTTTATAGAAATATTATGTCAGAAAATACTTTATTAAAAGATTTTCAGAAAAGTGAAAGAAAGTGATGAATATCCATATGCAACCCTAACTTTGCATGTATTGTATCAAATTTTTTAATAAATTTATAAGTTAAGATCCGAAGCGACAAATTAATAACAATTAATAAAAATTCTTACAGGATTTCATTTGTTTTACGAAAATGTGTTAGAAACTGAAATTCAATTTTGGGAATGCATTCAAAATATATTAAAATATAAACATTCTGTAGATGTACCTATTATTGTTATATTATGATCATGAAAAGACCATTTCATATTATATTATCTGTTACAACTAATTACCCATAGAAATATTATCTATTGAACATAAATTTTTCTTACATAATATGATCCACTTGTAAATTCGTTCTGAAATGTAATAATGTTATCATTTTCTTCAATACTTTTTTCTTATTTTATTTCCATATTTCCTTTTTTTTTTATTCTCATGGGAGACACGTTTCTGGCAAGACACCAGACGCCCCTGACAAGAATCTCTCATGGGGATGCTTCAACTGTCAAAATTTGATTTTGCGAGCGATGATTAATTGAATTACGTTTTATCTCTCTAAAAAAAAAAAAAAAAAAAAAAAACTTCATACGTTTGAGACATCTTGCGAATTAATTTCTTGCGATAAAAAGGACAGGAATTCGACATGGAAAGCATATAATTTATACGTCAGTTAGAGATGAGTATCGTGAAAGAATAGTCTTGTCAGTTTGAACAGAGTCTTTTCTCTTCGGGA